ATCGCAAGCACACCAGCTGCCAGGGTGTGGGCGATTAGCTCGCAGACAGTAATTGGGGTGTCATCCAGCGCCACGCTGATAAGCGAAAGGCTTCAATGCGCAAGTTGTGGGGCCTGCCGGTGCATGGCAATGATTATTTTATACAACTGCTTGTGTGCGACACTGGACGTGTCAGGCGCTCGCCCCAATCAGGAGTTGCCTGCACACGGTGTAGATTATACACCCCACTGCTGCTTGCCGGGCCCCGGTGATGAGACGGCTGACCACGAGTCCAATGTGTCACGGTATATAGGGTCGTAGAGCCCTTCCCGAGCACGCTAGCGACACCTATTGGTCTGTCGGTCACGTTACACAATGTGGTTGAGTGCTTGCGTGTCACATCAGCTGCAACACTTTTGTGTCAGGCACAGTTTGCAAATGTATAGACAAAATACCGTCGTGTAGTTCTACGGTGATTCAAGGGTTGTAAGCCATGCGTTGCGATCACGGCTTTAGTCATTAGCCCGCGAACTCGGGCGGCCCAGCTCCAATGGACACACGTGCAAAAATACACACAATTGATAGAGGCTTTCAGTATTCACACATGGTCACAGGTTTTTAGGTGTGAATGATGCTGCTGGGCCAACGCCCTCGAAAATCATGAGATGAGCAAGCGCAGTGTGTTGTGTCCCTCGAAATCGCGGTGGAGGTGCCCGAGCCTTCAAGTAGCGGCAAAGCGCAATCATTTAAAATGATGGGGTGGCTACAATGCCGCTACGATGGGGTTGGAGGGCCCCACTGGGTGTTGACTACACAGTTTCAAGGGGTGACACCCCGATCACTACCCGGGTGATCACTTTCAGATGACCTTGACACCATCTTACCATGTTCACCCCCTAGAACCAAGCGAGGGCAGTGACTAAAAGCATACCTCGACCACCTAGGAGTCGTTCTGTAGGCGGCCGTCAGCGTCTCACAGGGGGCGCAGTGGCAACTGCGCGGAACGCAGCACACTTTGACCAAGCTCAAAGTGAGAAGTGGTGTGGGGTATCCCTGTCCGTACCTGTTCCACCAGCACTCGCATCTGACATCACCCGAGCGCGACCGCGAGCCGGCCAGAGCAGCAGATGGCGTAAGCTTGGGTTTCAGCCAGGTGGCCAGAGGAGGCAAATAAAGCTGCATAGCGGGCGTGTGTGCACGTGTGTGCAAAGGTGTGACGGGGAGAGAGGAGGAGGGCGATGCCGGAGCCTGAGAGCGCAAATCACGGATACTGGTGCGCGTTGAGCCACAGGCAAAGTGATTGCCAGCTGGCAGTGAGGCGTTGTGGGGGTCCAGCGCACGACCGTGCTGCTCCCAGCGACTGTCCCCCTCCAGCGCATCAATGCCACATTCGTGGCAGTAAGCGAGCGCTGGGCTGCCATCCCCGGCTGCACCCTGCTGGCCCAAGCTTCTGGGGCGTGTGTTTGAGGGCGGGCCCGGTTAGTTCGCACCTCTGCTGAGGCGCACACGCTCATTGCAAATCTCGAGGCCGCGGCGGCCCATCCCGAAGTGCCCCCTTGCCTCCTGGCTGTCGTGCGACTGGCGCATGTTGGGTGCTGGTCCAAGGCAGTGTGGTAATCGACAAGCCGGGAGCGCGTCTGCTGTGTGCCCACGCCATCAAGTCGCGGGCGTATGCGCTTCAACGGTATGCGCCGCAACGCTTGAGGGTTCCGCCTCATCCACTGCCACCACAGCACAGGATGTTGCGTTGCCCAAGCCGTCTGGCTTGCATTCCACGCCTTAAGCTTCTGGGGTGTGGCCGCGCAGTGCATGCAGCACGTGGCCTGGGGCTAAGTGAGCATTCATGTGCGCGGTTTGGGCGTGAAGCCACGGGAGGGCCCCCGTTGTTGAGTGTGCTTCTGATCAGCCGCTCCGCTGCACACGCACCTTCCCCTCTGCCACTTCCCCCCTCCGGGCAGGGCAAGGGCAAGCACCAAGTATGGGTGCGGCGTTTGGACAGAGGCCTTGCTGGACGCTGTGCAGCAGGCCGGCGCTTGGGGCTGGAAAATGCGACCCGCTGCACCGATTTGCCGGGACCACGCAAACGCATCCGCGGGCATGCTCGCTATTTGGAGTTTCTCCTCTCATTTCTCCTCCCTGTTCTTGCGATAACAAGGGGGGAATGCCAAGAAAGTGGCGCCCTCAGACGACAATGACGACCGCGCCGCAATGGCAACAGCACTCTTCGGCGCGCTGTAGACGGGCGCTCGGTGCAGGGTTGCGCTCACCCGGCCCCCTGCCCAGGCATGTCCGCCAGCGCCCGGCGAATGCTTTGAGCCGCCGCGGCCGGCCAGCCGGCTGAGAGAGAGGGCACCCTAAGTGAGATCGAAGGGTTGATTGTTACCCAGCTAGAGGGCCGCACGTCTCATTGAGTTCAACAACAGCGGTGCGCCACTAGCGAGGGCGCGTGTGCCGCCGCCCCCGCGACTTCCATAGGGTGTAGAGGCTCGCAGGGGCGCCAAGGCAGCCTTTGGGGCTGGCTGCTTCCCCGTTAGACAGGCCCTCTAGACCCGGCATCCCATGCACGGATTCCTTACATGCACAAAGAATGTCACATAGCGTTGTGCGCCGCTACCGTGGCGGAAAACCGCAGCGGGACAGACACGCCGCGTGCCGCAGCGCGCTCACCGCACCCAAGCACCAGACACAGCGGGCGGCGGCCGGCTCGGCGCGGCCCGCGGAGCAGGGGCGCGCAGGCGCGCCCAAAGAGGCAACGCGCAGACGACTTCGCGTCTAGGATGGTAGCGCGAGGCGCTCGTTGTTTGACCAGGCTCTGTAGTAGTAATAGAAGAAGTCGCCGTACAACGCCGTTTGCACCACGCCGCACACCCAGACTGGGCCAGGGATCGGAGGGGGGGAGAGGTTGACGGGGTGAGGTGAGGGGCCACGCAAGGTAAAAGGGGGGCGGACGGGCGCGGCGGCAACGTGCGTGTGTATGCGGCCGCCGGCGGGGCCAAGCAGCGGCGCCAGGCCACGTCCCGAGGTTTCCTGGCAGGTTCTGGCTGACAGCTGGGAAAGGTCCAACACGCGTTGAAGCGATGAGAAGCGCGGGCAAGCGCGCCGGCTGCTGTCAGCTGCCCACTGTGATGATGACTCACCGACCCACTGGCGGTAGTGCTTCTCAGTCAAGTACCGGTAGATCCAGTTGACTATGTACAGCCCGCGGTACGTACTGCGGGGTTGAGCGGGAACAACCACACAGGTGGCGCAGTGGGTCAGGTCAGTACAAGGTGGTGGGCGGGTCCAGGGAAGGCCGGAGATTATGTGAGGGTGCGCGCAACCATGGGGAGCGTGCACGCCCCATTACAAAACATCACAGTTTTCCAGCAGCAAGGGTTTGGAACCCTGGCTCCCCATGAGGGGTGATGCCCCCATCCTTGCAGGCCACAGGAGTAAGCACACCCCCCGCATCTGAAAATCCTCCGCCAGGCTGTCCCGCAACCGGTGCTGCCGCCACCCCCCGCCCCCAACCACCACACACCCACACACCCACACACCTCGAGGTGCCTGTATGCACGGCCCAGAGCAGGACAAAGCCCTGCACTGGACCATGCACACATGCCGACAATCCTTCTCACAATCTCCTGTTCACAATCTGCCTCACTCTCCACGTATTGTCAACCCCCACGCTTTTGCCCGGTCAACCACCACAACACCCATGGTCAGCCCCAAAGCGCACCCCCCTTGCGCGGGGCCTCACCCCAGCAGAAACACGTAGTTGCCCGTGAGGTTGTCGATGTTGTTGGTGCTGCGAGGGCGCAGGAGGGCGGGGGAGGGGGGGGAGTGCTCTGGACGAAACCCCCTCTTGACCAAACTCCGCTTCACCGGCGGCAGGTGGAACGCAAGGGGGGGGGGGAGGCGCTGAGAGGTCTCATGGGATTGGATGGGAGGCGCCAGGGGTGCGCGCAAGCGGCGCGCGTGTCTGCGGGCTCACCGCTGCAGCAGCACCAGCTGCGGCAGGATGGCCACGGCCTCCAGGAAGATCGAGAACGTCCACAGGACCTTTCGTTGGTTTGTGTATTGGGGGTAAAGGGGGAGCGTCAGGCATGACAGGGCGCGGCGAGCCCGCAGGTGGCAAGGCGTGATGAGGGGGCAGGGATGCGATCAGACGCGGCGGCTCGCCCAAAACGCGCTGGCAAGCTCGATGGTCCGGGGCCAAGTCTCGGCTTGCTGTTGCCGTCGCTGTCGAGGGGGTGGGGCGGGGTGACGGCGCAGCCGGCTGGCAGCTGTGCCGAAACCTCGATCTACCTCGCGTGGCGCCGCCAGCACCACCGTCCCCGTGCCCTCAAGGCAAGCCGTCGCGATTTGGCATGCTCGCCCGCCAGCAACCCCACGCCAGCAGGACGTGCAACGGCGGGCGCAAGCGGTCGCACCCACGCGCGCGGCCACGCACACATGAATACATGCACACCTCTAGGGGTGTGTACTTGTGGGTGGCGAGCAGCGCGAGCACAGCAGAGGGCGCCACCAGAAAAAGATACCTGGGGAGAGGGAGGGACACAGGGGTTGAGGGGTCAAAATAATTGAGTGAATTTGGGGCGGGGGGCACGGATGCGGCTGGAGAACCTACGTGAGTTGCCGCTCGCGGCCGAACACTTGTGTTCACGCACGCCAATATGCACACCTCAAAATCGCGTCGACAGACACGCATGATCGCTAATCAAGCTGCACGGCCCAGACCCCCCAGACGCGCCCGCTTGCCAAACCTGCACTCAAACGCGCGCACACGCGCACTCACAGATCCACAAACATTCAGCAGCGGCTCCAATCAGCCCTCGCCACTCGGAACCATGCGCTTCGCCCCCCTCCCCCCCCCCCCCACACACACCTGAAGGTGTCTTGGTCCTTGTCATATGTTAGCCGTATGAACCTGTGGCCCCTCATGAAGTAGACTATGGCTCCAGACGTCCCCAGGAATATGAGCTTCATCACCGTGTTGTAGCTGCGGGGAGGGGGGAAGTTTAATTT